TGAACCGCCCGCACGGGTCACGGGTCGGCCCGCGGTCCCGGTTTTCACGGGCCGGTTTTTACGGGTCATGGCCGGCCCGTCCGTCTTGACACCTCTACCTTACAGTCAAAAGGCAACTTAAATTTTCTAACTTAGACGCAAAAGGAAAACTCATTTATTTACTTATTTGTGAGCTTCTTAAACTTGGGAAAACATTCTCTCTCAGTCAGAAAACGCAATTTTAGAGTATTCAGCTATGCTATCCCTAAAACTTAATAGACAAATACAAACACTTAACACATCAAGTAGTGTGTTCTTGTAATATTATGAGGCGTAGAAAATCTCACACATTAAGTATGTATAGTGTAGATTAATCAAATAAGTTATAAAATAAACACTTTTGGTTATGGCTATATCTTGGCAGGTTGAAAAAGAAACTTTTGCACAATGTCAAGATATCAACACTGATCTGAATCTACCACCATTGTGATTGATTCATACTGATTTTCCTTACTAACTAAATGAATTCTGTTTGAATCTTTCACATGCAGAAGAAAAAAGATTTTCTTATTTTTTTTCTTTTTATCAAGTTCTTTGTTTTTTGTTGCATAAATATAGCAATAATCTAACTAATTTCCAAAAACAAAAAAGGAGGAAAGGAATACCCAAGTTACAAGTTTTAGGCGCCCAATAATAACCTATGGACAGCAATTTTTTGAATTGGGTAGTTACCTCAAGCTGTCTACTGGTATCATCTGTCCAAACACCAGCAATCATTGTCAATAGATTTTCTAACTGCACCTACAATCATGATATAACTATCAAAATTACTTTAATTCAGGAGTTCAAAAATCACTTCAAATATTAAGAAAAACTACTGAAATAAATCAACATACAAATGTAGACCAGAAGGAAGGAAAGATGTGGAACCATCAGTCCTACCTAGTAATTACCATAGTTATTGTAATGAAGCTGAATTACAGATATAGGCCAAGTTCAATATTGAACAAATCAAAAAGCTCAAAAAAAATATGAAAAACGTATTGTTCAATCAACATTTTTCTTGTTTAATAAAGTGGTTATAAGATTTCAAGCTAGGCAATCTACTCTATCAAAGAGGCATAAAAGATGGTTTTAACCTGTTTCATATTGTTCTTTCTTTTTTGTAAGGCATAAAGCGCTCATCTGGTGTAATTTCCCCAGCTACATTCTTCGTTTGAATTAGGCAAACTCTTCTTGTCTCTGGGTAACTGGACTTTATCTACGTTGTGACACCAAGTATACAATTGATTTCATTTTGATGAGAACTGTGCAATTGTTATAGAAGTTAGTAGTATATAAACTTGTCATTCACCTTCTTTCTGCATAGACTAATGATAGGAATACATTTCAAGTTCTTGAAAATTGCTAAAAAATTATTTTTTTAGCACATACTTGGGTTACTTCAACAGAAAAACCTACTCAGGTTATTCTTTCATTTTTAAATGGCGGTATTTTTCATACCTGGCTTGCCATACTCGAGGTTCATCAATGAAAAAATTGTTCAGAGAAATGCTTAAAGACCATCATTAGGTTTGAATTATTCCCTCAATCCCACAAAAGATATATAGTTTAACTTTTGGAAGTTAAACAGAGGTCTTTGGTAGGA